TTCTGGAAATAACAAATTGTTATCAAAAAGACAATATGGATTTAGGGAGGGAAGTTCGACGGAAGACGTAATAAAGGAACTAACTAATAAAATTTACTGTTCAATTGACAATAAAAAGCCATCAATAGGAATCTTTTAGACTAGGCTAAAGCTTTCGACACCGTCAATCATTGTCATTTATTAAATTCCCTTGAAGATATGGGTATAAGGGATATAGTCAATAAATTAATGAAACAAACAGAAAACGGAAAACCAAAATACAAATTATCACCAGCATTGATCATGTAGTATACCTCAGTATTGAGGCCTCTACTCCTTATAGTTTATCTCTTTTTGTTAGGTTAGTTGGATTGAATGTGGAAGTAATAATTGAGAGAGAATATAGTATTATATTGAAGTAACAAATAGAAACAAATACAAAATTCACAATCGTATAAATCAACTTGAGCGTGACTTAAAAAGTGACACTTGATATTTGTGACATAATTAGGATAACCAATATTGTTTACGCTATTGATAAATTTATCATTGTCTTCAATTTTTTTTCCAAATGCTTCTATAGATTTATTGTTTTGCCTTAAACTATGTAACTCTATAGATAGTGCCGCCGCTACTGACTTTTTAGTAATTAACTTATTCCTAATATCTAATAAGCTCTTCATTAGAAGCATAATTTTGATTTAGTCTAAGCTTTGTACCTTGAGACAATCGTGCTTTTAATACATATTTCTATCTGAATTAGGGCGTGGTTCAAAGCCCACTTGTACTGAAGCTCTAGGCTTATTGTACCCCTCACAGTTTCTATCCCATCAGATTGATTTTCTTGATGAATTCAAGAATATGTCTGATGGGCGCTTTCGCGATTTCTTCAGGTTCCGGATATTGTACCCCGAAGTACCATTCCCGTTCCCATTTAAGGTTCCGGCAGTGGCATAGTATGTGAATAGGAGTTTCGTCCTCCTCTTAACATATTCTACGTAGGGAGCCACCAGATATCCCTAAGAGATTTAGGTGTCTTCTAAGGCCGCAGTGTCCCGTAAGGAGTCCTATTACGGCCTTGAGTTCGCTTCTGTTAAGGTTTAGCAGTTAATGTTGTCTGCTCGTGGATGGCCCCTCTATGAATCTTCAATACATATTTAGTCAAAGCTTTTTTACCATTGGCGTCTAAAAAACTGTCATATAACTCAATTGCATCGATAAGTATTTTTATGGATGACTCAGTATTATCCAAAAGGGGAATTAAGCCAGAGGCTGTTTTCAACCACTACTTTGAATTTGAAATATTCTATTCTTTAATATTTCCTTAATACGATTAATTAATTTAACTCTACCATCTATAATAACTTTCGGTTTATCTTTAATGTCTATATCATAATTACCTTCGTTAAATGTATTTATAACCAAAGTAAATTCAGCTTCTATACCAGTGGTCGCCAACCTCTTAATGTGTTGAGCTACTTTGTTAATTTTGAAATAAACAGCGAGCTATCCACATGGAAGCCACGTAACGCAACGTAAGTGAAATAATCCACAGTTAATTTATCATTATATGCATTTATTTTACTATTTAACTGGTAATACATAATACATAGGTACTAATAATAAACTAATAACAAAATAACTAATATTACTAGTACGTACTTGTTCATAGCTACATTCCTACCTACCAAACGAAGGTGTTTGAAAAATAAACTCAAACTTTTTTCCAGCCACAACGGCATGTCACGTAAAATTTAAAAATAGTTAATAATAACAACAAAAAAGTAACGCACTATCATGAACATAAACATTGAAAAATAAAAAAGCACGTTCAATGAGAAGGCTGGACACTCAGACTCATCGATAATTTTTTTTAATGTTTGCAGTATAATTTGATACAGTCATTCGAATACAATTATCCAAATGTTCATCTGTAAGTCGATTGCGATATTTGTTCTTAATAAACTTCATATTGGAAATAGAAGATTCACACAAATAGGTTGAACTGAATAATGCTTTCACTTTCAAGGCAACACGGCATAGAACTGAATATTTGTCTTTACTTACAATAGGCTAGATACATTTGGTACTTGAGACTAAGGATTTTAAGGCTAAATCATTTTGAAACTCAATTACTTCCATTTCTGTTGCAGCGATGTCTTCGCCAAAGTTTTGCATTACACAAGTTGCAAACTGTTGGAGATAAATTTCCATAAAGGGTGAAACAACAAACTGCGCTACTAAAGCCATTTCGTTAAAATCCTTAAAACGATTTTTGAAGTTATTCTTCAGGGTAGAAACTATTTCTACATGATATTTGCTGTCATAGGGTTCTAATTGATTTTGAGATATTTTTTCTGAAAGAATAGAAAAATGCTTGGCATCGCTGTTAATTAGGTTTTGTTCCCAAAACTCCAGCTTTTTTTAATAAATGCTTTTATATCAGAAATCATTTCCGCTAGTTCTTTGTCTCTCCCCTGAAGCTGCAAATTAAGTTCGTTTAATTTCTCTGTAATGTCCACGAGAAAACCAAAATCTCTAAGCCAGATTGAATTTTCTAGTTCCGGAGTCGGTTCATCGCGTTGTTTGAAAAATTGAACTATGCCAGATAGGACATCATTAAAACGTTTCAGCACCCGTCCTCTACTTAACCATCAGACTTCAGAGTGAAGGAGTAGGTCCCCGTATTGACAGTCAACTTCATTGGCCAAGGTTTTGAATAATCTTCTTTGTAACGCTTGAGCTCTAATCTTGTTCACAATTTTTACCACCAGTTTCATAACGTTGTTTAGTTTCAGAAAATTTCCACATAATGCTTGCTGATGGATAATGTAATATAGTAAAATAAATATTACTTACATACATTTTTATACATTATAAAATCAAAAAAAGAATTTTGTTTTATTTTATATATATTTTTTTCCATTCTTCAATAATTTCATATAGCAACTGTCCTTATACTGAATAATAATTTTTCTATTCTTTCAATATTAATACTTAAAGAAATTTATTGACAAAAAATTAATTTGTGTATCAGAAATAAATCTGCCACAAGTTTTTTAATTTAAAAGACATTTGGGTTACAATTAACAGTTGAAAGTTACCTGTATTGCAAGGCATTTAGAACACGGTTAAGAAAGCATTGGAATCACCCAGTATAAAAACAAAATGAATAGACTGTATCTAACAAATAATTTAGATTGACTTCATACAACATAAATCGCTCTTTCCGCCACTTACTCCTCAAGAGACCGACAACCATAAATCTACTCGTAACTTCATCTACCTTACGACAATACTTTGAACCGGAGCCCTAAATAAACGAGACTTCGCGTAGTTTACGGTTAAATGGCGGCTGCCAACTTAGAAAATGCCTGCTGCCACCCTCTGTTTTGGGTCCTTATCAATTAAGACACTCGCGTATGTTGGGACATTTAGTGCGGCACTCCATTAATTGTGGAAATACGTTGCGGCGAATGGCGCGGTCGGTAGGATTTTACAAACTTCGGACGGGTGACGAAGTCGAGATTGGCTTTGAAACAAAAAAAAAACAAGTTTTACACCATTCTAAGACTAAAAGAAGAAGATAAGGTTCTCGAAATTCGTTTAAAGCTAGTAAATTATTGTGATTTAAATTTGTGAAAACATTTTATTAGATTTTTACATAATTTAAAATGCTACGTGTAAACTAAGGGGGATATGTATGTATGTATGTATATATGTAAATGTATACAAGCTTGGTCTGGATTATCAAAAGATTCTAACAATGTCTAATTAATGTTAAAAAACATTTGATATATCTGCTGAAAGTTTGCCATGCGAAAAATATAAATTTTGGCAGAAGAATTTGAGCATTCCTCGCTTTTTAATAACAGTTTTAATGATATTAACACCGACTGATTATAAATATCCTCACTGACCAAACTATCATTACATTTACCTACTAAATCAAGAATGTTATTGTTCTGATTTATGAAACATCCCCTCTTTTTCCAAATCTAAGATATGCACAATAGCTAAATGATTTTTTGACGAAAATAAACCGCAGACACGGTAAAAGTGCTCAGACCGAATCCCAATCGATATTCAAATAGTTTGGAGTGCTTTCGGAATCGGTCGTGATTTATCTGGAACTCGAAACGAACGAAAACAATATCCCCGCAAACATAAATTCCGAAACTTCTTAATTGACAAGTTGATGTCGATCGTTGCGAAAGGTATGACTGATGATTCCAAGTTTTGAAGGTTCGTATTCGGTGGGTTATTAAATTTTCAGTCAATAATAATGTTTGCAATATGTGGAGAGGTACTGGAAAAAAGTATTTAGATCATCAGTTCAGCGTGATTAGGTACGTACTTTATTAACTATCAAAATAAAAGCTCGAGTATTTACTTTTGTGAATTTAGTGTCCGGCTCTGAACCCGAACTCAGCGCTCTATCACAGCTTATCAGCTCCACAACTCCGTGTCGGCGTCTTTGATCTGGCGGTCGAGAACTAAGCAAGACGGAATGGTGCTATCTCTGTTAGATTCGAGGGAAAAGTCGGGCCCGGATTAAACAATTTTTTTATTATTGAAAAAATTGAAAACCTTGGCGTAATAAGGTTGGTTACATGCCATATTAAGTAAGTTTTGGGAAATTAAATTTTTAATTTGTTTTAAATCTGTCAAATATAATTAGAAACATTATTTAAATATAAATATTACGAAAAATAGCACATCTTTCGGATTAGAGGTAAAATAATTTGTATGTGGCTAGTAAAATCCTCGTTAACAAATGTTTTGAGCTAAAACAGTCACTTCACGACAAATTGTGGCTTGGATCCTTTTTACACCAAGGGCTTCAATTGTTAAAGAATTGTGTCACGCTCGTGGATGCAAATCAAGTGGTACCCCGTGTCTCTGGCAAGTGTTACTCTTCGCGCAAAGGGTTTATACCTAGATAAACGAATGCTTCGACTGAGGTCTGGGAACTCTATGGTATTTTGGAATTATAAAGAATTTGTGCTTTTATTTTAACAATATTGGTTATATTTAGATGTATTCTTATTAATTGAAATACAGATTTGTAGAAGTAATACTTTGACAGTTTTTATTAATATAATATATTTAATTTTTATCTGACCATACCGAAGTAGGGAATTTTGAAACTTTATAGTAATGTGAAATTTGAATTACAATATTACACGATATTACATAATTAGTACTTATTTTAGGTAGGTACTAAATTTGTACTTGGAGAAAGTAATATCGATTTTTATAAGAAAACTTGAAAAGTAAATTAATTTAGTTCCTATTTCTGATGTAAAACTTAAGTTTTGGTTTAAACCAAGAAAACAAATAAATTATAGTTTGTTCAACAAGGGTGGATATGATAGCAATATCACACAAAGACGAAGTTTAAGCACGACGTCGTATGCGGAGTACTCAATCGTCTGATTGTGATATGAACAATCCACTCGATATGGTCAGTGTATTTTTTCTACGACCCACTAACGAAAATCTACAAATTTAAAAAATTATTTTAGGTTATTTAGACAAAATAACTAATTTTAAAATAATTTACGAAGTTGACTAATTTATAAAATAAAATTAACATGAAAAATTAATTAGTCCTCGGCCTAGATTCGATCCCGGGCTTTTCGCGTGGAAGGCAGATGCTCTGTCCTCATCTTCACCGAAACTTTCAGGACTTTAGTTTTAATACTCGTAATTAAATTAGTATCATGTAGTTTGATTAAAATTTTTTTTTTAAATGTGAACACAATAAAAACAAAAATGCTATTATTTATCGAGTCTACACAAAAATTTTAATGTATATTTAATATCAATAACTAAAATATATATTGACAATTAGTTTAACAGAATTGTCACTTATTTAAAAAAATTTAAATAATAGGAGTTGGGTGACCAAAATATGAACTGTGATTTGTAGATTTAATTTTGTTAAAGTGTTCTCACTACCTAAAATGGATATGAAATATATTCGTAGTTGAACGCAATAACATACTTTTTCGTTTTGTAGTATGTGCATAGATTGGCTAATATCCATGCATAGATTACAAAACGAAAAAGTATGCTATTGCCTTCAATTGAACGAATATATTTCATATCCATTCTAGGTAGTGAGAACACTGCAAAAAAAAATAAATTCGACAATCACCGTTCATATTTTGATCAACCGACTGCTATTATTTTTAAAATTTTAAATAAATGACAATTCTGTCAAACTAATTGTCAGTATATTTTTTAGTTATTGAGATTAAACATACAATAAAATAAGTTATTCTTTTGGAAAACGTTAGCATGGACGACTAAAGGGTATTGGGTTAATTAATTCTAAAAGTGTGGTACAAATGTTATTTTTTGTAGCCAATTCTTCAAAATTATTTTGAAATATCTTTTCAATATTGAATATTAGTTCTACAAATTCATCATTTGACAGTTGCATATTTCCAAATGTATCTGGATTGGCGTTATCATATGCCTTTAAAAAGCAATAAAAAGAAAAATCATCTAATTCAACGTGATCTTTGTTATATTTAAGACAGGTATCGCAGAGGAGTGGATCCGCAAGGCTTTTATTAAAAGGTAACCACACACATACCTGATAAAATTTTTCTGTATCAATTCGTCTTTACAATTATTTAGGGTGTTAATAATTTTATCATAAAATAAAATACAAGGTGTTCCATTTAAAAAACATACATTTTAATTTGCCAGGCAAAAACGTGACACCCTGTATATCCAAAGATATTTTTAAAATATGTAGGTATTTTTCAAATCCATATAACTTTTATTTAAAACTTTCTTGCGTGTCTACAACAAAATAATGAACAATAACGCACTAATGGGATACCCTGTATAAATTCTATTTTTAACAATGAAAATTTCTTATAATGTGGTACTTATCGGTTTGGGTCCTGTGGTACTTATCGGTTTGGGTCCTTGGGAAAACTAAAGAATGTTTTCTTGCAGGTATAACCCTTATTAAAACAGCTTTTGACTGCACAAACAGAATGATGTCTTTTTTTTTTCACTCATTCTATTCATAGCTAAAGAGTCACCAAAATAATAACAGTACCTTTAACTCAAACAAAATCAACGAAATTATAGGCTCCACGAAATTATACAATCAACGAAATTATGCGCACGACTCAACACCTTACCTAAGTACGCTTCTGAACACCAAAACCGTCTTTTCCCTTCGAAGGCGGAGCTTAAGCGATGCGCGACGAAATCGACGCAAA